GGTCTTGTTAGACTTTCCGGTTTTACAGTAACCCCTTTTGATGGACATGGGAATGCACTGAGGCTGTAGCACAGAAACAAAGAGCATGGAGGAGACTCCGCGCAGACCGGTCAAGTGCCCAGCTGCAAGTCCGTGATATGGTCGCCAAGCACTCAGCTAACCTATGCCTGACAACTGCCAAGCAAGCATTCACAGCAAGCCTGGCGCAGAAGTTAGCCTCTGGGTGTATGGCGTCTGGTGAATGGTGGCGAACCATCAAGAAGGCCTCTGGCCATGGAAACAGCACATCCTTACCTGCTCTCCGCAACACTGCCGGTACGGAGCACCAACCGCGGCAAAGTAGGGTGCATTGCCGAACACTTCGCCAACAAATTTAATGCAGTTTAGGGGCTGAAGAACTATCCGCTGCATTTCCTCACATCCGAGAACGCAGCACGGCACGCACTGACCGCAATCGGCACTGTCCTGTTTCGCGAGACCACAGTGGAGCAAACCCTCTGCCAGCTCAACCCCACCAAGGCCACTGTTCCAGATGGGATACCTGCTCGGATCCTGAAAGCTTGCTCCGCCGAATTGGCGCGACCACTTTCAAAGCTATTTACTTGCTGTCTTCGCTCCGGCATCCAGCCACAACAGTGGAGGGTTGCAAACGTTGTTCCAGTCCACAAGCGCAAATCAAAATCGTCGCCATCCAACTATCGACCAGTATCTTTACTGAGCATCATCTCCAAGGTCATGGAGACTACTATAATTATAGTCAACATGGCATTCAGCAACTTCATGGAGACGAATCATGTCCTGTCAGAACACCAATTTGGCTTCCATCGCGACCACCTGCTGACTGCTCTCCACCACAAGTTGGTGCACACGCAGCCAATAGAGGGGCTTCTGGAGTGCTGACCATCGATATTGCTGGAGTATTTGACCGGGTGTCACATACTGGTGTATTGCACAAGGCTAACGTGTACGGCATCTCGGGTGACCTGCATCGGTGGTTCCAAGACTACTTCTGCAGCCGCACACTCCTAGTCCTCATAACCGGCCAAACATAAGCCAGACGCCCAGTTAAGGCTGGAATGCCACAGGGAAGTATCCAGGGCCCCACCTTATTCTTGGTCTACGTCAATCTATTCTTTTCATTTCTTCTGTTTTCTCTAATCCTCCCTACCCGATCTCCCTTTGGTGCGTCCAGCGAGCTATGAAGCCGAGACTTCTGGTCGGCTGAGCTTATTGGACCCCACCACCACACTCCATGAGAGAGACAGAGAGAGACAGAGATAGAGAGAGGGAGAGAGAGAGAGAGAGAGAGGGAGGGAGGGAGATAGAGAGAGGGAGAAAGGGAGAGAGGGAGAGGGAGAGAAAGAGAGAGATAGAGAGAGAGGGAGAGAGGGAGAGAAAGAGAGAGGGAGAGGGAGAGAAAGAGAGAGGGAGAGAGAGAGGGACGGCGAGAGAAAGGGGGAGAGAGAGGGGAGAGAGAGATAGATAGATAGAGAGAGAGAGAGAGAGAAAAAAAAAGAGACAGAAAGCGAGAGAGAGAGAGAGAGAGATAGATAGAGAGAGAGAGAAATTCGTGAGGATACAGTTACCAGAGGTGTGGGTTTACCGTGTTATGGGTGTAGGGGAGTGTACTAAGTTGGAGAGGTTTAAGAGGCAGGGGTTTGGTGTGGTATAGGGCTTTATAGGTACTTGATTGCTTGTCCAGGACGTTCACATTGAGTATTTAAAAGTACATGGCTTTGCAAAGTTACTCAGACTTGCCCTGCTTAGTTTCACTTGGATCACAATTCATGTTAGTTGTCCGTCGCAGGAAACGTGCGAAGGCCTATTCATACTTCATTTCGCGCACCGGAAACGCGTCGCGAAGAAGTGGATCTGAGCTCAACTATTTTGCGTACGAGAAAACCATCTTGCGACGGTCGCGTGATGGCTTTCCCGTACGCGAAATGAAATTGTATGTATGTATGTTTTTATTTGAATTCGCAAGTACACACGGGCTACAAGCCCAATTACATGGAAGCGAATGTGATAATGAGGTTAATTAAGAAAAAGGGCGGAGGAAGGAGGAGTACGGTAGCAAAGCAAAAGGGAGGACAATTCAGGAGCAAAATTAACAATTGCAGAAATATGAGAGTACCTGAGACCGAGGGTACCTGTGGAGCGATAAAATGCTAAAGCAAACAGAAGAAAGGAAATCACAAGCCAAATACACGCTAAACTGCGCTTGGGTTTTAATAAAGGGGGAAACTGGAGTTCAAGAAAATTATACCACACAAAGTCATAATAAGAATTTAACTGGATGAAGAGTAGCAAAAGCAAACATTTCCTGACAACGAGAGGGACTGTAACTACAGCCACGGCAGTAGCTCCTGTAGCAGCAGCAGCAGCAGCAACAACAACAACGACAACGACAACAACAACAACAACAACAACAACAACAACAACAACAACAACAACAACAACAACAACAACAACAACAACAACAACAACAACAACAACAACAACAACAGCAGCAGCGCCGTGCTGACTGCTCCAAGGAAGGAGTATGGGATTGCGAACATAGAAGGGAGTTTGCAGATCTAGCCTGCAAGCGTGAAGGGCAGTGCGGCTACGGCGAATTCACTGGGACGGTTGAGTAGGCGAACTTCGCTGGGGAGGGTATTCCAGAGGACGGCACCACAGTGCGATGGTCCCTGCTGCTGACCGGGCTAGCGGGAGGCGCAAACCCTGTCCTTGCTGGAGGCGGGTGGTGTTTCCATGAGCACTTTGAAACTTGTCCTGGAGGGCTGTGCTGGCGCGGTTGTGCTGGCAACGCCACACAAACCTCAGAATCTTCTGCTTGTGCAGCTCCTGAATGCTGTAGAGCTGCAAGCTTGTCAGGAGGGGTTGAGCATGAGACCAGGGTGGCTGGCCAAACACTGCCCTGGCAGCTCGGTTCTGTAGGACTTGCAAGCGAGAGACTTGCTCCTGTCGCAAGCAGGCGAAAAATGCGGTCGACCCGTACAGCAGGTCAGGCATGATGATGGACTTCATGAACTGTGTACGGGCCTTCAGATTTATTGCTCGCCTAGATCGCCAGAGCGCCCGGATCTTCTGAGATACTGTCTTGGCGATGCTGTCCACGTGTCGCTGCCAGTTGAGGGAGCTGTCCAGCAGAACTCCGAGGTATTTTGCAGTGTTGTTGTGTTGTTGTTGTAGAAGTTTATTTAACGTCGCACCACAAACAGGCGATTTCGCCTCCTTTGATACATGTGGACGACAGAAGGAATGAGAGAGAGGGGGGGGGACAGAAGTATGGAGAGAGGAAGGGTAGAAATAAATAAGCAATCAACCTCAGGGCTGCACCAAAGCAAAAACGGAATGGGAACATACTATATACAAAATAGCTTCATACATATATTGCAAAACACGTTTACTATTCTTCAGTCCGCTATACCACAGAAACACACTAGCCGAAAAGCATTTAAACGGAGCCATGATGCGCTTTTAGCAGGGCACAGAACTGAAGGTGGCTGGGCTCGGAACGGAGATCAGGCGGGAGCTGGTTCCACAGGACTGCGCCGATGAACTGCATGGTCGCTCGACCCGCAGGACCGGGCCAAAATGGTACTCGAACGAGGTGATGTGCTGCTCCCCGAGTGCGGTCACCAGTGCTTGCTGCTGGCAAACTAGTCCCATTTCAATTTACAGGAATGGCTTCACTATGTCTGCTCAGGACTTGGCTCTTCGTGGAGTACAGGATGAGGTTGCGATCCTCTAGCCAGTCAGCCACTTAAGATACTGCCCGGGTAAGCGCCGCATGAAGTATGAATCGACCTTTAGTACGTTCACTGCTTGCAACACTGGCTCGTTATGTCCATCACGAGGACAGATGGAATCGGTTGATCACCGTCTGTTAGTCGTGCTATTCGTTGTCCACTATAACATTACGTGACAGATGGCGTGTTTCACACCAGGCTTCTCCGACTGGCCCGTAAAATCACCATCGCATCAAGTCAATCACCATCGCATCAAGTCGAATCCGAGCGATCAAGTTTTGACCGAACTTCGAAGTACAAAGCAGGCATGCAACTGCCGTGAGTCCGTCAGGCGGAGAGCTGGTTCTAAACAACAATACAAGAGGAAGAATTGATTCCTCAGATGTTCTCCATGTCTTCCAAGTGTTGCGCAAGCTCCGAGCCTTGCATCGGAGCGTTAGCTCTCAAATTGTGTCGGCTCACCAGGTGTGGCCTCTTATCTCAGTTCATCTCTAATAGAGCAGTGAGTGCTCGTTCCTCAGTGCTGTACTCTGAACACTAAAGTGAGAATCGGCTATTACGTGCAACGGGCCAAAACGAACCTCGGTATTCTGCGTTCACATGTGCTAGTCCATCTGAGCTCCAACACGTGAACCCAGCAGTTGATCGGAAACGGATACTAGTATTCAACTATGGATGTACAGATAAGTGCGAAGTGTATTCTGGCAATGGTATGCGTGTCCCTGACGTCCTGGGTAGCAGTGACCACTGGCATTGCCGGAGCTCATGAGGGCCTTTCACCAGAACTCCTGAAAGAGAAAACTGCAGTCCCTAGGCGTAGCATGCAACTTTACCCGACTTATCCTGAACATGGTCATCCCCTCCGACCGGCTTTCAGTCCGCGAACAACAGTACTTATCACGGATGCTTTCTTCAACAAGCCAATGGAAAGGGTTGTAACATTTGGTCTGCCCGATGCCAATTCTACCCTCTGTACAATAGTGGGCTCATTCTTTTCAACCCAAACTACTTTGCAGAGCTGGAATTACAAGACATTCTTTTCTTCTTACCAAGCTTTACAGACAAAATGTTTTTGCAAACTGGCGATTCAGCCCAGTGTGACGTCATCACCTGACCGAAGTATGTTAGTCTTCTATGGTTTTGGAGCGGGCGAGTGCTCCGAGTTCATCGTTCTTCACGATGGTTTCACAGCCATCACCAGTATACTGTACACAACTGGTGAGAACGCTCCATGGGCATTCTCACCTGCTCTTGTTACCATACCCACCAATACGTCATCGTCCATGTTCACACTCATATCATACGGAGGGTCCCATTGTAACGACATGAGCGACAGTGAATGTACCCGCTTCTCCACGGATATCTTCCAGATCACCATCGACAGATCAGACACATCAGTGCCTGCCAAATGGATAAAATCGGAACAGTTAGCAAATGCTCGCTCTCCAAGCCCCAGGTCAAATCCCACTCTATTTTCCATAAGTGATTCCGATTTATTGCTGTTCGGGGGAGTGGAAGCACATGAACATTCCCAATCCATCCAGTTGCGAATGTTAAAAGATTTCTGGATCTTCAATATTGAACAAGGTACATGGACTGAACTGTCATCAGATTTCCCGCCTTTGTACTTTTTGCCTCCTGGTGACGATATGGACATTATGAGAGAGTTTTACAATAACTTACAGGCTGCGTATCTTAGTGACTACCGAGCACTGATTGTGGCATACTCTGTGCCGTTTGGGCCCTTTCCCCTGTATCTATGTGCGCTGCCACCCCAAGACGTAGGTCGAGTTCACTGCGAAGCGAAAGGAAAACTATCGACATTATTCCCTATGTCATATCCGTACGAGATGCCTTGGTTTTCATTGTTATCCAGCCACTCAAATGAATTTCACATTGTGTTTCATGGTAAAGAAAGTAAAAAGAGTTTCATTGTGGAGCAGGACTTCCAATCTCAACGCAATACGTCACAGCTAACGATCACGCAAAAGCTAGACATTGATGTTCGAAGTCAGTTTCCAGGCTTTCAGGGCTGCTTTAATGCACGGCCTATGTCTGTATCGCTTCGGCTAAACACCACATCAATAATAGCATATGTGTTTGTTGGGTCGCATTGTCCAGCTCATTCAGCTGGTAGTAACATTCGATTTACTCGATCTGAGAGACCGTCTCTTGTTGTTTGGCTCCTATTGTACAACAAGTTCGAACCCTCCACTATAGTGGCAAAGTATCCTTCACCTTCACCTTTGCTGTCGAGGAGCAATGGCCACACACTCACATCCGTGGGACCATACATGGGAATTCTCTTTGGAGGTTACCAGATAACAGACAAAAGCATAGATTACCCAGATTCCACTTGGTGTATGTATATCAAGTTTGATTACTTGGCTCAAGATTCCGCAATCTACTGGCGATTTCTTACCACATATCCCTTCCCGAACAAGCCAATGGCTCGAAGTGAGCATGTCGCATTTCTTCACAAGAACAACAACTTGTTGATACAAGGTGGTGCAGACATCGCCCAATTCAAAGTTTACAGTGACTTGTGGATATTGCAGGTGACAGACGAACAGTCATGCTACGGTAAATGGATCGAACTGACTGATAATGTTTTTGGTGAGAAACTCCCTCATCGCTACGGGCATTCTGCCACGATGTATGGTGATGATATCATTCTGTTTGGTGGTAATGACGTAATCGCTGAAGACAATGGCTTCAGAACCACCCGTGATAATGTTGAAAGGTTCATGACAACCGATCACGTGTTGCTAATGGCGATCAAGAACCTATCGTTTATACATCTGCGCAAGATCCGTTTGTCACGTCCGCTTCCCTTGACATGCTATCATTCCCTGTCTCAGTACGCGTTCAATTCCCTTTTACTACTTGGCGGATTGTTTTCTCGCAGACGGCTTTATACGTATTACAAAGACACCAGCCAAGCATTTCTTCTTCAATTTCGTGAACAGTGAACAAGACAGTGAAAGTGATTCCCTATTTCAATTTCACCATATTTGGCCATCATGTGATCGACAATTTCGTCTTCTCCGGTGGGTTTGCGTATGACTTGGATCATTATACGCCAGCAGTAGGTTTTCTGTTTGTGAATGTTTCGGGAAACTGTCCCCTGGGCTATGGATTCTCGGACCATCGTACCTGTCAGCCCTGCTCTGTAGGGTATTACTCGTCCGCTATTGGAGAGGAATGTCGCAGATGTCCTGGTGATTTAACGACACCAGGCATTGGAGCCTGGAAATGCGATACCATATGCAAGGATAACTTCTGCCATGGCCACGGTACATGCATGGTGGACAGGGATGACAAGAAGTATTGCAAGTGCAAGTTTGGATACCTGCCTGCCGACAACTGCCGTACACCCACAGTCTATCTTTCTCAGGTGGCCGCCGTTATTTTCTCCTTGGTACTTTCTTTGTGCATTACGTTCCTAGTGAAGTTCATTCGAAAGCGTCGTGACTTGAGGAATACGGAGAAACAGATGCAAATCCAACATGTTCATCTCCAAAGGTCACTGAGGAAACTTGCGGAACTGAATCGGGGAGCGCGAATGCAATGGACCGACATAACCATCAGCAAACGACTCGCTTCGGGCACCTACAGCAAGGTGTATATTGCAAAGCTTAGTGACATGGATGTTGTTGTCAAGAAACTTCCCAAGCGTTTCAATCGCACGCGATGGCGTACATCACCTTTTGACATCTTCTTGGAAGAGGCTGAGACACTGCGTTCATTGCGCCACCCAAATATTGTGCTCTTTCTTGGAGCAGGCCAGGACACAGCAGACAATTGCCCTTTCTTGGTTATGGAGTACTTGCGACGAGGTTCTCTCTACGACAATCTCCATGACCCAGGAATTCAACTAGAACAAGAGGATATGCTCCGGTTTGCTCAGGACATCGCTCGTGGTATGCGATATTTGCATAGCTCCAATCCTCCACAGATTCACCGTGATCTAAAGAGTCCAAACCTATTGGTCAGTGACAAGTGGGTGGTGAAAATCGGGGACTTAGAGTATACCAGATATCTTGCCCTACTGGACAGTGAAGATCGTCCGCAATCTGGCCGGGAATCCAGCAGCGATGCCCAACCCAACGCTCAGGCGGCAAGCGGTATAACATTACAGCAGAACTCAACGGCACACGGCTGCGAAAGAGAGACTCTGATTCAATCAACGGTTTCTGAATGCCGAGAACGTTCACCGTCAATACACCACAGCAGCGGAGAAGTCGCAATTCCACTTCTGTGCATCACGGACCAGACTCAATCTGACAATACGATCTCTGGAAATGCTGGTCCCATCGTAACTATGACAACAGACGACGCAGAGAGTACACTCAGTCCCTGTTTCACGGCCTCCTCACAGCTACCATCGCGAGTTGGAATGACGTGTGGTGTGGGGACTGACAGATGGAGAGCTCCAGAGACACTGACTGAGAATAGTTACACTGAAAGGTCGGATGTGTACAGGTAAGTCTGGTCTTGTTGATTTTCCTCTTTCCAGTCCATTTCTGCACGCACCTCTTGCGAATTGCCTTTTTCAAGGGTGCTTTTCCACAGTCAGAGACAACAATACAAAATTATACAATAATAATATGTACGAGTAGGCAAGAAAACTCCTACACACAACATGATCAAATGAAGTGGTCTCTTCGCTGCGAATTTCTGATTATAATATCCCAGTCAAATCTTCGACAAGGAGCAATCATCAGAAGTAGGCAAGAAATCAGATTTAGACGTGACGTGTAGACACACACCCGATAACAAGTACATTTTGTATATGGCCAATTGTAGTGATGGTTGGTTTCTTGCTTTGTTGTTGAAGTAGAAACCTTCTGTGGTTGAATGGTGGTGGTGAGGTGTTTCTTCCCAGAAATATGCTCAGGGTTTTGCTTGTTATAATCCGCATACTCTGCGCACAAGCCTTCTTCCTAAAATAACACCGCTAGCCCTGAAACATACATGTACATTGTATACGGAGTCTACATACACACACACAGCTTTCCATACAGCGCTACACGACCCACCCTCTCCTGGCATATTATACCGGCATGGTCGGTGCCCCTTCCTCATGTTGACTGATGTTTGCGAAAGCATGAAACCTAGCAACAAACAAGCCTTGATTGTCCTTGTTGTTATGGACCTTAGATAATTACACCTGTGTGTGTTCCTGTACAATGTGTGTAAGAATGCATGCGCGTATGTATTTGTGATTGCGTGTATGTACGTGTGCATGTGTGTGTTTGCGTGTGGTCTCTTGCAGTTATGGCGTAGTTCTGTGGGAGATATCTACTCGTCGGCTTCCCTACGCACATTTGACATTCCCGGAGGACATCCATCAAGAGATCCTTGATGGCAACACGCCAGTCTTCCCTCCCACCACTCCTTACCCATACCGTCATCTGGCTGAGAAGTGCATGAGCGAGGAAGCACGTGACCGGCCCTCATTTCAGCAGATATTTCATCAGTTGGAAGGTCTACAGGATGCATTTGAGGTTGACGTCTAAAGGGCCGCCCCAGTCACCCCATAACTGAATTTATCACGTGGCACGTGATTGTTCCCCATACTCCAGCGAATCAGCACCTTTGGCGCCGCCAGCAATAATATGCGATATTGCCCGCAAAAAAATGTTTATTTCAGTCATGGCGTGACTAAGACGACTCTCTAGACAGTACGACTCTACGACGAGTCGCAGTGTAGCATTGAGACGAAGATGGAATTCTTTTTGGAGATGGACGTCCCGGCAATGGACATGGCCTCGGACGTCTGCCGTGTGGTGCTTGCAGGGATCATTTTGTTCAGTCATGTTGGCAGCCTCACTGTCGGTAAGCTTGTGGATAGGATTCAGTTCTGCTCGATGTGGTACTATGATCACAAAAAATTATATGAAATAACTCAAATTCAACTCGATCAGCATCGTGCGTTTCAGATCCTCGCAAAGTCACTGCCTGTGTGTGGTCTTCCTGTGCCACCCAAAACTCTTACCAGGCTCATCTGTCCTCTGCCTTCACCTTTGCTTGAACAACAAACACAACAATTCAGGAATGTTTTGCAATGAAAAATACAGCTATCAGGAGCTGAAATAAAGGAGAAAAATTGTTTATTTGCCAACTTCCTGATACACATGTAAACATGAAGAAACTCTTTGTGGCAGCACTCTTAATGTTTCAACTGAAATTATGATTCTGTTGTGTTTTTTTGTGTTTGACATGTCTATTGCTATGACGATGCGTTTTGCTCAGGACAGCGATTTGACGATCGTTTTTCCGAGTGTGCTTTTGTGTAACATGTTCTGGTTGAAACGAGTGGTAATGTCCATATGAAGGAGTTTTCAGTCTGTGTTTTGTGGTCTGCCCGACGATGGTTAGTTGCGGGACCAAGTCGCACCGCAACAATTGGTAGCAGAGGATGGTTTAGTAGTGGTACCAGTAGAGCAGACCAAAGGACATGGAATCCTCGTCGAGTTTATGCGTAGAGTCCGATCTCAAAGTGAGGAAAGCAAAATCAAAAGCCCAGTTCACGAACGGCAAGAGGGCGGTACTGGTGGCGGCGATGCACGAGCAGCCAGAGTAAGGAATCATCAAGGCTCGCATGGATGTGCTGGAGAGAGAGAGAGGGCGAGAGAGAGAGAGGGAGAGAGAGAGAGGGAGAGAGAGAGAGAGGGAGAGAGAGAGAGGGAGAGAGAGAGAATGAGAGCGAGAGAGAGATAGAGAGAGAGAGAGATAGAGAGAGAGAAAGAGCGAGAGAGAAAGAGATAGGGATAGAGCGAGATAGAGCGAGATAGAGGGAGATTCGTGAGGATACCGTTACCAGAGGTATGGGTTTACCGTGTTCTGTGAGTAGGAGCGTCTACTTAGTTCGAGAGGTTTTAAGGGGCAGGGGGATGGTGTGCTATAGGGCTTTATAGGTACTTGATTCCTTGCGCAGGACGTTTACATTGAGTATTAAGTACGTGACTTTGCAACGTTACATGAACTTGCCCTAAATAGTTTCGCTCGGATCACAATTCATGTTAGTTGTCCGTCGCAGGAAACGTGTAAGAGCCGATTCACACCTCATTTAGCGTGCGGAAAACGCGTCGCTTCGCGAAGAAGTTGATCTGAGCTCAACTATTTTGCGTACGGGATAGCCACCGCGGGACGGTCGCGCAATGGCTTTCCCGTACGCGACATTTAGAAAAGCGATCCTGTCAGCTTTTCTATTATTGTGTTCACATGGCAAGACAAAAGGACATCGCTATACTAACGTAAGTTTCTACGTAAGGTGCTCGGTATTTCACTACTCCATGTATCCTAGATCTATCAACTCGTGGTAGCCGCGTGCTGTGCACGTGCACGGCAGTGTGTTGCAGTCCGTTTTCGGACGTGCAGGCGCGAGGAACTTCCTTCTTTGGAACTGCTTCTTGAATGAGCTGTTTCGGATATTTCGTCTCCTGGCTTATTTCACTTCGGCTCTGCTGAGACCTCCTTTCACGGAATATTACTCAATGACAGGTGAGTTGACCAGTTCCCTTTGATTCATTTGCTTGTGTTGACTCTTTCATTTACGAAAAGTGTGCTGATTTTAGGTGGAATACAATACATAGCAGACTCAGCGGAGGACGTTCAGGTTGGTTGTAACTCTGAGTTTCATGCCGTTAGGCAATCATGCGACACCTGATACTCTGGTCTACCCAACAGTATGCTTATAAACACATAGGGCCACAAGCATAAACAAATTTAGCGCTAAATCTGGTGTGAGGTATGGGGAGAAAGCTGGCGCGGGCCAAGGCGCGACAGTAGAAGTGCCAGGTGGGTGGCGGGCAAAAGGGCAGGTGTGAGCATGAAAGCGCGGAAGGAGGCGATGGGGAGGCAGTGTACAGCAGATGGATAGAGGTGCCAGGAGGATGGCGGGCAATGGGCCAGTGAGATCGCTACAAGTAGGGAGTCGTTTGGTGACGGGCAGGCGTGAGCAGAGTGGCATAGCCAACAACAGGCCAACGGATTGTGTTATTAATAATAATGGGTGCTCAGGCAAAGTGCAGTACAGTACTTGGTCAATTCATTTCATAGGTGTGAAATTTGCGAGGCGGAACTTATTCTCATGCCTGCATTTCGAGACCATCTCAGACCGCTTGTTGAGTAGGAGCTTCTTGGGTGTAGTCAGGATGTAAATTTTTTCCGCAGTACATAGATTGCATTTTTTTACTCACATCTGTATGATCGTACCTTCCATGTAATGGTCAACGGCTTTCCCTCGCTCTTCAGCTGCCATACGTGTTTTGCGAGCTCAGTGCTGTTTTTGTATTTTTCATGACGCATGGAGGTCAGGTGGTTGGCGTGACGGGCTTTGAAAGGTGTCTCTGATAGGCCGATGTAAATCTTGCTGGTAGATTCTGCAGTGGCCTCATACACTATCTCCTTCGTCTGGCACTCTCCGCGCAGCGGGCAGGACTCCTTGATTCTACAGTTGCATGCCTTGGTTTGTTCTGGCTCTCGCAGGTTGCTCTTGTTGTGGCTGCTGATGACCGCTCCCATGTTGGGCATGCAACTGTAGCGCACTTTCAGGGTGTTACGGTTGAAAAACTTCCCAAGCTTGGATGTTTTCGCGAAGTGCCTGGAGACAAGGCTCAGGAACCTACTTCGAAGTACCAGCGACGTTTGTGCTGACGTTTTTGGAGTAAGGAGGGTTGAACCATATGATCTTCCGGCTGCGGTTCTTCCTGCCCCTGTGCTCATGTGCCTCGGGCTGAAAACTCAACACTTTGGTGTATCCACTGGCCTTTAATGCGGTCTGGTACACGGGGGCTGCATGGTTGAATGCCTCCGCGTCGCTTGATATGGCGGAAAGGCGCTTGTTGACAGCAGCAGGGATGTTGTTGATGATCCCAGGCGGGTGATTGGACTGCTCGCTGACGTAGAGCGGGTTGTCATTTGGCTTTCGGAAGGGTTGAAATTTCCCGGTGTCCAGGTTCATCGTGACATCCAAGAAATCCACCACCTTCAAGTTCGCTTCGATGGTAATTCTTAGGTCGAAGCGCTTGAAGATTTCCGCCAGCTTTTTTTCTGAGGCAGTCTGCAGCCTGTGGGCTGATGTCCTTGAGGGCGGCCAGTCCATCGTCTCTGTAGAGGCCGATAGCGGATCTATCGACGTGGCTTGAGAGCTGGTTGAGAAGAAAGGCGCCCACAAGTTCGCACGTCTCGGCGCCATCGTAACTTCCCATTGTTACGTCAAACATGTCGCCCTTGTCCTTCATCCATAGGGAGGCCATCATGGAATAGGAGCGATTTTCGGGCGTGAAAGATGATGTCCATTTCACGCGGCTCGATCGTGGTGAATTGCTCCGCAAACAATAAGGCCTGACGGAGGAGCTGCTCACCAATTGACGGGTAGAATTCTACCACGTCAAAGCATAGGAACGTGTGGCGCTGTTTGTCGGGTATCTCCTTGAACCACTTGATCACTGACATGGTGCTCCTCCATAGGTTCACGGCCGTTTGGCGACGCACAGCAGCCACGATCTTCTCCAGTATAGCCTTGCTCACCACACCCACTTCCGATTTGGCTGGGGTAATGAGTCTGCAGGGCAGCGCTCTAGCGAAGTTGTTTTATGATCTTTCAGTGTTATAAATGCTTCTGACTTAATTAAACAGTACGTCCATCCTGTTTTGAAGATCTAGACCCTGTGCGATCTCCTTCGCCTCGCTGTTGACTTCATCGTAAGCATTCTCAGGCGCGATCTTGTAGTTTTTGGTGATGTTCTCCTTCATCAGCTTGCTGAATTGCTCTTTTGGTACTTGGTACAAATTGCGTGTTTTATCGGCTTTCACGATGGTGTCCTTAGAGTTTTTGATCGTTTTGGTGTCTTTTCTCATAGCGTCTTGGAGGCTGTCTGATACTTGGCGGAAGCTGACCGTTTCAGCCACGCCAATGAGGTCCTCTTCAAAGGCAGAGCTAAGAACATAGCAGACTCAGCGGAGGACGTTCAGGTTGGTTGTAACTCTGAGTTTCATGCCGTTAGGCAATCATCAGACAACTGATACTCGGGTCTAACCAACAGTATGCTTATAAACACATAGGGCCACAAGCATAAACAAATTTAGCGCTAAATCTGGTGTAAGGTATGTGTATATAAGCATACTGTTGGGTAGACCCGAGTGTAACATTTTAATGTTATTTACACACAAGCGGAAAAACCGTCAGAGATCAAATTCCATTACACAGTGTTTCACCGTTCAAGCAACGGATCATCAGATGAGCACTCTCCGCAGTTTGAGACCATTCCCTTGTGTAATATTATTTACATAAGTGGGTATACCCAGGTTTCAACAGTGCTCAACACCACAGGGGCGGAGCGTAACCACAAAGGTCAAAAAGAATGGTTTCACCAATTATAGAAACATACGTTGTAACGCTGCGTTTCATGCACGTAGCTAAATGCTAAGGCAATCATCAGACAACTAATGCTTTTGCCTACTGCGCAGGCCCATCCAGTGATGTAATTATTAACACTCGTTCGTCCCATGCATGCCCTGCATTGATAACTCACATCTCCTCTACATGCCCATGCGTATCCCCCACAATAAGAACAAGCTATCCCGCGACAAAAGCATTAGTTGTCTGATGATTGCCTTAGCATTTAGCTACGTGCATGAAACGCAGCGTTACAACGTATGTTTCTATAATTGGTGAAACCATTCTTTTTGACCTTTGTTAATGTTATTTATACTCGAAGTATATATTTATATTTATTACAACATCTCAAGACTCGGTGGAAACACCGGCCAATGTTAAGAGAGCGGGTGATTGCCAACCATGGCGATAAATAAAAGTAAGGGGAGGAAAAAAGAAAGAGTAGCAAAATGAACGGCAACAACAACTCCGTAAAGAAAGATAATGTCATATAAAAACAGTGAAAAACACAGAGACGCAAAGGAGGTTATGGAGTGCCTAGTTTGTCTCAGTACCTCCAACTATAACTTTGCCCTTATATCCTCGGGATCAGTGTAGTTGTTGGAACGAGGTGGCGGACTCAACAATGTATTTGTTTATATTTTAATACATGTTTATTGTTCCTTATTTGCTGTGTTGTTTTAGACAATCGTGGACTAACACTTTGAAGTCATTGAACTACTTCCAGAAGTTATATCGACAATTCGACATCAACAGGATTACAAGATCAGTGCAATATGATGCAGGATGACCTTTTCACGATAACCCATGACTACAATTATAAACACAGAACAAAAACATCTGCGACGCGCACCTAGTTACATTTCTCAAGTAAAATTGAGGGTGGGGAAATCTGAAATATCTGAAAGGCAAGACAATTTTATGACAGAGTCACGAAATTCTGCAACAGCAACATCCACAATAT